TCTCTCTCCCCCACTCCACCCCCTACCCTGTGCATCTGTGCATACTCTCTCTCTCTCTAGCTCTCTCTAAAATAAAATTTTAAAAAAATACAAAAAAAACACTTCTTACTCTACCTATGGGAAGATAACAATCAACTTCACTCTTGTTCAAAATAAAATGATCACAAAATATAGGACACCTTCAGCAACACACATTGTATTTCTATTTCAACTGAAGTATTTTATTATTAAAGCCATGTAGTTATTCTCTTCCAGATATTTTAGGGGTGGAGAAGAGCAAGGTTCATGTGCAAATTCTAGCTTTTACATGAAACACTACCTTGATCATGTTTTGAAGCCCACAACTGGTGGCACATTTTTTCAAAATAACAATCATGACTGCTAATCCTCATGCACCTCCAAGTCCACCAGCCTATCTCCTTCCACCACTAGAGTGCACCAGAATATTTACTACCGGCCTGGAGAGCTCAGTGACTATGGTTCAACTATAGATTCTCTTCCTTTCTCTCTATTTGACAATTCTATCACATCAACTTTTACATGTCTATGAGAAATTATACACAGACAAGGACTCCTAGCTTATAGAACAAAAAACCAATCCAGTCATTTGAATCAAACAAAGATTATGACTTCATTCAGTGGCCAAAATTGTAATGCATTACTCTTCTTGGTGTGTGTATTTTGAATTATAAGTTTGTACTGGAAGTGGAGAAGGGAGTCTGTTTGGCAAATGTAACAGAACAGCTTGAAATACATGCAATCCTGGTACGAAATTTGGCAAAAGATCCTTTTGACATGTCAGTAAGCCAGGAGTGTTCTGCAAATTCCTAGAACACTCTAGGGAATATACAGTTTTAAAAATCCAGACTATTATCAATACACTTCAATGTTACTCAGCCCACAAACACCCTCGTAGCACCTACTACGTGCTAGGCACTGGATAAAAGCACATTCTAGGGTGGATTTCATACAGAAAGTGGCATAGGTTATTTACCATTCGGATTGAAGGCTACAAAATATGTTGCTTCCAAGAGTATATCTTCTATAATAATTTTCCATCACATGTCTGGCTTCATCTTAAAATTTAATATTAAAGAGTCATTATCTTTGGAATAAAGTAGTATTTCCAGGATACATTAGTTAAAAGAAAAGGTTTACCCGAGAAAGATAACCCATAGAACTACTGATGGTGATGATGACGATGATGATAATAACGGTGAGTATAATGGTGGTAAGATGATGACAATGCTAGCAACTAACATTTATTTAGGCTTAATACAAGCAGAGATTTTTCTAGATTCTGTACATGTATTAATTTATTTACATAAGGTAGTTGCTGGCCTCACTGTCATAGTTTTATAGATGACAAATCTGAGATACAGTTAGGTTAAGCAACTTGCGCAAGGTTACACAGCTAGCAAGACCAGATCAACTCAGGCAGTCTAGACTCAAACTCATATTTTTGACCACTATCCTACATGATGGCAATTCCCAAATTTATATCTCTAGTTTATCCATCTTCCTCTAGTTGAAGATGTGTGTATATATAACTGTTAACTTGACATTTTCACTTGCATGTCTCAAAGGCACCTCAGTGATAATATGTCCAAAATTGATCTCTTTGTTTCCACAACCATTCCCCAGAGGTGACATAGATTTACCCCAAGACAAATATTCGGTTCTCTCCATAGTCCTGTCATCTCTCTCATTTCAATTAAAGTTACCATTCGGAGACGTGACCATGAGAAGCATGCTTGACTTTCTGGTTTCTCACCCCTTAGGGCCAAAATACCTACAAGACCTATTAGCTTTATATCCAAAATGCATTCCAAATGTGTCCAATGTCCCCAACTTAATCCAAGCCACTGGCGTCACTCACTGCAATAGTATCCTGCCTTGTGTCTGTGTTTTCTCTCCCTATCTCTCCATCCATTAGATCCAGTTTCTACGTAGGAAAGACTGTGAACTTTTACAAACATGAGTAAGAAACGTTGCACCCCTCTGTAAAGACTTGCTTTACCATTGTACTTAAATACAAATTCTTTATTGTAACAAATATTCTGTATCTTCTCTCCCTTTGCTCCCTTTTGAATATTCTCTTAGGACCCCCCAATCTCTTGCTCACACTGTTCAAGGTAGAGTGCTGTTCTACAGTGTACTAGAGAATGCTAAATTGATCCTGGCACGGGATGGATGCATTTCCCCCTCAGTTATGTTTGATTTCCTAGCTCTTCACCTGGTTGGCTTCTCCTCCTTCAGGTCTCAGTTTATGCATTGCCTTCTTTTAGCTATCTTCCTGCCCATACTACCTTAAATAGTCTGTACCCACTATTCCCTATGCTACCTTAACACTCGCTTCTGTGCCTTATAATACTGATCACAATTTACAACCATCTAGTTGTTTATTATTTGTGTACATTTTTATTTTACTTCTCCAGGTCGTGAATTTTCCATGAGGTCAGGGAACTTCTATCTCTTATCCTCCATTGTATCTCCAGTGCCTAACCATACTAGTGGCTTCCAGGGTACATTGAATAAATGACTGCTAAATATTCTATTTATAAGGAACACATCTAAAATTCAGGACACAAAAAGGCTACGTTTCCAAAGATAATAAAAGATATACTAAGCAGAAAAAAATCAAAAGAGTTGAAGTAACTGTTAACAGAAAAAACACATTCACAGACTTTATTACTAGAAAAAATATATCACCCACAACATTGACTGATTACAGGATAAACCATGTGATCATGCTCAACAGATGAAGAAAAAGCCTTTGATAAAATTGAGTGCCCATTTATGATAAAGAGTGTTAGCAGACAAGGAATAGAAAGTAATTTCCTTAGTCTGATAAAGGGCATGTTCAATAAATTTTCAGCCAACATCAAAGCTAATAATGAAAGGTTAGAAGCTTTATTTTTAAATTTACATATAAAACAAGTTTGTCCACTATCACTGTTTTAGACAGTGTGATAATGATGGAAAAAACAATAGAAGTTTTAAAAATGGAAAGAAAAATCTTGTCATTAGTCACAAATAATGAGTGTTTGCTTCATAAGTAAGTCAAAAGATCCCACATTTAACAGTTAGAATTCATAGGAGTCAAGGAAGTCATCCATTAGGTGAATATACCAAGATCAACTGCATTTCTATACAAAGAATGTGTATGGTTTCTTAGAGCTTCTTAATGTGATCTGACCTATTAAAATGCCATCTTTTTTTTTTCCCTTTCTACACAACTGACTAAAAGTCAGAAGGTTATTTGAGTCTTCGTGATGTTCTCATCTAAGCCAAAGGAAAAGGTTTTGGATTATAGGGTCATTAATTTTTGTTAAGGAAAGAACTAATATAAGGAGAATAATTATATTTCCTAAAGATGGATGTGCTCTGCAGAAGGAAAATGAAAGCCTAATGCCATTACATTTCATTTCCCTGATTCTCCTTACTACAAATAACCAAGATTTTAAATATTAACACTTTCTATGATTATAACATTTGCAGAAGAACTTATCAAGACAGGAAGACTGGGTAAAAGAAATGCACAGACTCAGTCATTGAAACTCACAGACAAAATTTTGTTTTGAAATTTCTTAGCACAAATCTTTTCCTCAACCTCTCAATTTGAAGTCATTTTTGGAATTGGTCAATTTTTGATTGACTTAAAAATATAATCATTCATGCCTTTTTAGATGCACCACCAACATAATTGATTGGAAGAAATGGAAGAAATAATTTGTAAGATGGACCTCATTAAAATTAAAAAGTTTTTCTCAACAAAAGAAGTTCAAGAGCATGAGAAGACAAGGTTTAAATTAGGAGAAAACATTTCCAAAGCCCACTTATAATAAAAAGCTGTTATCCAAAATGTACAATGAGAATAATAAGAATAAGAAATAAGAAACAATGAGAAATAATATAAGAACAATAAGAAAGCAAACAACCTGACTTTAAAATGAGCCAAAGAACTTAACAGACATTTCACCAAAGAAGATAAAAAATGGCCAACAAACGAATGAAAAGATGCCCCATATCTTATGTCATCAGACAAATACACATTAAAACAACAAATAACATACCAACACACACCTATTAAAATGGTCAAATCTGGAACAGTGGCAACATCAAATCTTGACAAGGATGTGAAGCAACAGGAATCTCTCATACATTGCCAGTGGGAATGCAAAATGGCACAGCCACTTTGGAAGACAGTTTATCTGTTTCTTACAAAACTTAACATACCATATGATCCAGCAATTACAGTTCTCGGTATTAACCCAGAAGAGCTGAACAATTACTTCCACAAAAAAATCTGTACACACAAAAATTTGTCTTTATTTGTAATTGCCAAAACTGGGGGGGGGGGGGAATCCTTCAGTAGGTTAATGGAAAAATAAACTGTCTATGGTACACATAGACAAAGAAATATTATTCCATGCTATTTAAAAAAATGAGCTACTAAGCCATGGAAAACCATGTAGGAAACTTAAGTGTATATTATTCAGTAAAAGAAGCCAATCTGAAAGGCTATATTACAGTACGATTCCAACTATATGACTTTCAGGAAAAGGCAGAGCTATGAAGACAATAAAAAGATCAGTAGTTGCATCAGGGCTACATGGAAGAGGAATGAATAGACAGAACACGGAGGATTTTTAGGGCGGTGAGAATACTCTTCTTTTTTAAAAAAAATTTTTTAATGTTTATTTATTTTTGAGAGAGAGAGACAGAGAGCACAAGCAGGGGAGAGGCAGAGAGAGAGAAGGAGACAGAATCTGAAGCAGGCTCCAGGCTCTGAGCTGTCAGCACAGAGCCCAATCCACAAGATCATGACCTGAGCCAAAGTCAGACACTCAACCGACTGAGGAGCCTGAGAATGCTGTTTATGATAATGAGGAGATGAATATATGTCATTAAATATTTGTCCAAGCCCAAGGAATATACCACATCAAGTGTTGAACCCTAAGGTAAACCACATACTTCAAGGGATTGTGTCACCGTAGGTTCATCATTGGGAAACTGTACCAGTAAGAAGGGGGTGAAGCTGAGCTGAGGAGACAGGTAAGAGTGTTCAGACATTTTTGTGAGTCGAAATGTGTCCCCCACAAAGATGTGTTGAAGTCTTAACCCCTGGTACTTGTTAATGTGAACTTCTCTGATAATAAAAAGGTCTTTGAGGGGCCCCTGGGTGGCTCAGTCAGGTAAGCATCTGACTCTTGATTTTGGATCAGGTCATGATCTCACAGTTCGTGGGTTCAAGCCCCACACTGGACTCTGAGCTGAAAGTGTGGAACCTGTTTGGGATTCTGTCTGTCTCCCTCTCTCCTCCCCTGCTTGCTTTCTATCTCTCTCTCAAAATAAATAGAAATAAATTTAAAATATTTTTTGAGATACGAGTACGTTAGAATGAGGTCATACTGGATTAATTTGGGCTCTAATCCCATGAGTAATGTCCTTATAATAGGAAAGAAATTTATACAAAGAAAGATGTCATGAAACTACATAGGCAGAGATTGCAGTGATGTGTTTACAAGCCAAGGAAGGCCAAAGATTGATTGCAACCACCAGAGGCTAGAAAAGGTAAGCAAGAATCATTCTTAGAGCCTTTAGAGAGCTCATGGCCCAGCCAGCACCTGGATTTCAGATTTCTGGCTTCCAGCACTGTGAGAAAATAAATTTCTGTTATTATGAGCCAGTTTATGGTAATTTTTTAATGGCAGCCATAGGAAACTAATGCAGAAACAATTATGGTGTTAAGCATTGTAAGCCCCCCTTAATTCATAGTTGAAGCCCGCAGTACCTCAGAATGTGACTGTGTTTGGAGAAAGGACCTGTAAAGAGGTTATTAAATTAAAATGAGGTCTAGAGTGCGCCTTGCTCCAATCTTCCTGGGGCCCTTATAAGGAGGAATGTGGGCAAGAAAAGAGACATGAGAGGCATGTGTGCACATGGAGGAAAGACCCTGTAAGGACACAGTGAAAGCCAGCCGTCTGCAAGCCAAGGAAAGAAGCCTCAAGAGAAATCAACCTTGCTGACACCTTGATCTTGAACTTCTAGCCTCCAGGACAGCAAATAAATGAGAGGTTATCTGTTCTATGGTATTTTTTTACAGCATCCCTAGCAGTCTGGTATACAAGCAATACAAATAAAAAGGCATGATAGTTTGAAACACAGTTGTGGCTTTGGGGTAGAAAGAGTGCACAGGGTTGAGATTTAGTTAACCAGACAGGGTTGACCCAAAATGGCGAGTCATTTAGTGTGCCGAGAAAGAGGGTGAGGGAAAGGAGTTATCGCTGGTGAACCTATAAATTCTGACTTGGACCACTGGATTGATGGTGGTGTTTTTCCCTAAGAGAAGGAGGAGGAAGAGCTATAAAGAGGCAAGAGGAATGTTCGGACTTCACGGTTAGGCGCACTGTGAGTGTGCATCATGGCTGGGTGAGGATGCAGGTCCAGAGGTGGGAAAAGAGATCAGGTCTAGAATTACAGAACTTCAAGTCATTATATAGGGAGAGGATAGATTTCTTGGAGAGAAGGGAAAGAAGGGGACGGAGGATCTGCAGCACACAGAGATGTGTAGAACAGGCTGAGGTCAAGGAGAGCGTGAAGGTGGGAGTAGAGAGATGGAGGAATAATGTGGGGGCCACAGAGGACAGAGAATCTGTCAGATTCACCAGTCAAGAAACCACTGGCGTTCTTGCTGAACATTTTTATTTGAGTGGTAGTGGCCAAAGAGAGACTCCAGGTAGGTAGGTTGTGGGGTACACGAGAGAAGAAGCAGTAAACGTAGCTGACTCAGGAAAGAGAGCAGCATGATGTTGTGGCACCTGAGGAATCTTTAGCATCAATGGATGGTAGTTTTTTTAAGGTTGGAGACCACTAAGTACCTAAGTATGTTCAAGTGCTGTTATAAAGGAGTCAGTGGAGAAGAGAAAGAGCAGGAAAATAAGTAGTAGAGGAACACCTGTGCAGTGGGCAAGTTCTGAAATCAAGAACACAGTTGAAGAAATTAGCTTTACATAGAAGGAGTGAATAGTTCATTGGGAGAGCAAAAATGGAAGTAAGAATGGTAGGGGTGAGGGGCCGGCAGAGAGGGCAGTGCTGTCAGGGGAATAGAAATAAGTTGGAAGATGAGTTTGCAGAAAACTGAGCTTTCATTTTCATTGTGATATGGGAGGGCATGCTATACATCATAGGTGATGGATGAAGGAAGGGAGAAGTTAGAGAAGCAGGAAGATTGAAAGAACTGAGAGGGTTTAATAGCTACTGTGATGAAAGTAGCTGCCTAGGGATGGATAGAAAGCCACAGGGCTGTGGCAAGGATGGATGTCCGCAGCTCCCAGACTCCTCCAGTGTGAAACTCTTTCTCCAGCAATGCTCAGTGGTTGAGGACTAGGTAGACTGTGTTGGGGAATTAATAGATCCAAATTAATACTTCAAGAATTTATTAAGCACCTAGTTAGTGCTGGGCAGAGATTTTGGGGCTGGGGATACAAAGAAAAATGAGGCACGATCCCAATTCTAGGTACTTTATGATTCCTAAAAAATTAGCTTTATAGCCAGAAGGAATAAATCAAGCACTCGTTAAACTTTAGAAAATACAAGCTACAGGGATGAAAGAAAGGAGCAGATACACAACCATGAGAGTTCAAAAGGGGAGACATTATAAAGAAATGTTACTCTAGTACAATTCTATGGGTTTGATGTTAATATTCCCATTTCTCTGATGAAGAAACATGCTCAGAGAAGAACATAATTTAGGAGGATAAAGAAATTCTTCATGGGATAGTTGGTGTTCAGAACAGGCTTTGGAAGGTGAGATTTTTTTTTGCCAAGTAACCATGAGGAACTGGTAGTATTAATTCCTGGGAATGGCAAATTATTTTGTTTAATTGGATTATAGGAATGAAAGATGAAACTATTTTGCACTTCAGCCTTGAATACTAACACCAAGAGTTAGGTCTTATTTTGCAGGCATGGAGATAGGATTGAAGGCTTTTAAACAAAGATTGACATCTTTGAAACTTCCATAGCCTTAGGTAACACACACTAAAAAAAGGAGATTGAAATGGTGAGACCTGATAAGAAAAACCAATATAGATGTTAGGGTGATGTGGGTGGCAAGGAATTGCACAAAGAACAGAGTAACAAGCAGGACAGAGACTATTCACTCTCCAAGAGAGGAGAGGGGCCAGACATCAAGAGAGATGTTGGCTGAGTTTCCATCAGGCTGCTCCTTTTAAGGGGTTTGGGATGTGAGAGGGTTGTAACTGTGCCCTTGGGGTTGGGGGGGGGAGTGAGGGAAGGGGCCCATTCTGGGCCAGGTAGAGCAGAAGTTTGCAGGTTTCTCGAGAGACTCTGTCTGGGACTTGTCTGGGACATAGATTGTGGTCAGGCTAGAGAAGAATATGTGTTATAGTTGGGGTCTACTTTCTGAAAATGGAGGGCACTGTGACCTAGAAAAACAAAGAGGTAGAGGGCCAAGTACAGACACCTGTGAGTTTTGTCTGTGTGGCTGAGCAGAGAGGGTGGGGTGGACTTGGAACAGATTCTTTTCAGTAGCTATCTAAGAAATGATGTCAAGAGGAAATAAGACCAGGGTGATGTTCCTGGCTCCCTATCTACCTACTTCTGTGCTTTGGACAAATCACTTAGCCTCTTTCAATTTCAATTTCTTGTCATAAAATCAAAGAGATTAGAAAGAATAGCCTCTGTGGCCCTTTTGAGGAATAAGGTTTTATAATTCTGAGGTCTTCAACAGGAGTCATGGCAGTGAGAAAAGAAAGTATGAGCAAAGAGGAAAGGATTTATTTAGGGGTTTTTGAAACTCTGAGTATAATATTAATACAAATAAGTTATTCTCCACTGTGAAGTGAATTGATTACTGGGTCACCTCTTGCATCGCAAACACACATCAACACCGTACATATGCAGCCTCTCCTCCTCAAAGGATGATACTTGATGTTCATTTCTCCTCTGGTCCAGTTTCTCCTAGTGTTTCCACATTCAGATTCATCCTCTTTTTAGAATATGGTCTCAAACTCAAGATATCCAAAGATGAACTCATGATTTCACCATCCTTTCCCCTCCCCAGTTAGTTTTCTCTTCTAGTATTTTACCTTTTTTAAAAAATTATTTTAAATTATTTATTCATTTTTTAGAAAGAGAGAGAAAGAGAGGGAGACACATAACCTGAAACAGGCTCCAGATTCTGAGCTCAGAGACTGATGCAGGGCTTGAACTCATCAGCTGTGAGATCATGACCTGAGCTGGAGTCGGATGCTTAACCGACTGAGCCACCCAGGCGCCCCTAATATTTCATCTCTTGACACGGTCTACTGTCCACCCTTCCACTCAAGTCATCATAACTGTCTTCCTTCCCCCTATCCTCTTATAGCCAATCACACTTTGCCACAGATTCAAGCTCCTTAAATATCTCTGGGTTCAATTTTTCCCTCTTACTCCCCCTAGCGGAAGTTCCCATCACCTTTCATTTGGATCATTCTGTCACCTAACTCTTTTCTGTTTTCCCATTACAGCCCATTTTCTACATTATTTTGCTGAAAAATTTATTTTTGATCATTTTACTTTCCTTATTAAAACAGTTTAGATGCTTGACTTAGAAGTATTTTCTACGTTCCACAATATGGTATGTATATTTGCATGTAAACCCCCTCTTTTCTTCCTTAGTTCCAAAAATTATCTTTAAAGGAGCCTGCATGGCTCAGTAGGTAATGCATTTGGCTCTTGATTTCGGCTCAGGTCATGATTCAAGCCTTGCACTGGGCCCTGTTCTGGCAGCTCAGAGCCTGCTTGAGATTCTGTCTCCTCTCTCTCTCTCTGCCCCTCCTTGACTTGTGCTATCTCTGTCTCTCTCAAAACAAATTAAAAAACAAACTAACAAAAACAAAAACAAAAATTCCCAAAATTATTTTTAAATAGCCAACATAATTTTGGCTTGGGATTCTTGGGATTCTCTCTCTCCCCTTCTCTCTATCTGCCCTTCCTGCACTCATGCTTTCTCTCTCTCTCTCTCTCTCTCACTCTCTCTTTCACTCTCTCTCAAAAATAAACAAACTTAAAAAAACAAAAAATATTTTTAAGCAGCCTTCATATGCTTTATACATATGAATATATATGTATATATATTGTGTATGCATATCTATATCTATATATATTTATATCTATATACTTTCAACAGAAAAACATGTAAGGATGTTATTAGAAGTATAATTTGAGGGGCATTTGGGTGGCTTAGTCAGTTGAGCATCTGACTCTTAATTTCAGCTCAGGTCATGATCCCAGGGTCATGGGCTTGAGCCGTGCTCAGCATGGAGCTCACTTGAGATTCCGTCTCCTCCTGCCCCTCTCCCCAGCTTGCATTCTCTCTTTCTAAAAAAAAAAAAAAGGAAAGAAAAGAAAAGAAAAAAGTGTAATTTGAATGCTCCAAAGTGAAAACACCCAAAATGTCAATCAACCATAGAATGGTTAACTAAATGGTGGTAGATTCATCCAGAGGAATATTTTAGATTCATGACAATACACACACTGCTGCTACAGGAAGAAACATGGACGAAGCTCACAAACATGTAATACTGGGGCGGGGGAAGCCAGACACAAAAGAATACATACTAGAGGATTCCATACGGGTACAATTTTAAACCTGAGAAAACTAATATGGAGATTAGTGCCTGAAAAGAAGCTTAACACATGGCTTCTGGGTGTGATAATGTATTTCTTTATTATTCATAGATTGTTGACAAATATGTGTGTTCCCTTAGTAAAAGTCACCGACCTGTACACTTTTTAGTGTGCATGGTTATTTATTAAATAATAAATGTCTATTTAAGCATGTATTTAAAACTTAATAAATAATAAATAACCTTATTAAATGAATATTTTTATTATTATATACAATATAGTAGGTCAAACATTAAATACCGAAAAAAAATCAGACCAAAAGTAGAATGAGAGCAGAAAAGTAGAGAAAACACCTGTGTACAATGTGTGAATTATGAGGGACACCTTATTGGTTATAGTTGGCTGGCAAGTCAACACTGGGTTTTCTAGCAAATCTTTTTCTAGTATTGCAAACCAGGTCATGAAGGACATGTTCAGCAATATCCCTTTGATAAAGGGCCCGTCTATTGTAATGTTCCACAATGAAGGCTGTTGTCATCATCACCAGCAACGATTTAGTGAGACCAACTCAATGAAGTGGAGAAACAATGAGCCCCTCACACTCTATCTTGATCCGATTTAGAATATTCAGAGATATTAGACAGAATATCTTCCAGATAATCTTCCACGAATGTTTATTCTTTTAACTGGGCTTTGAGTAGGAGATGGGCAGCAGTTAGTTTGAGGCGATACCCTCCAGCAAGAGCCTGGAGTACAGAAAATGCAGATTTCTGATTTAGAGCAATTCCCAATATTCCCATTCAGCTTACAATAAGGTAAAGTTTACATACAATAAGGAAAGTTGAGTTACCTGGCACACAGGTCTATTTGAATCTCTGTAGTTCTAAACAGAGATTCAAATGAATGCCTAAAAGTTAGGTCCACATTTTCCTTAGGAAACAGAACTGGCTTTTCTCTAACACAGAAATAAATCTGTAGCCAAGGCTCAATGTTCTACATTATTAATCATGACCGGAAATTTTTTGAAACAGGTGTCACTAATCACTCACCATTGCCATAAAGAAACTCACAATGGAGCAACTTCCTGGCAATCTCTTGGAGTTAAATTAATTGGTAGATGTATTTCCTTGGTAGCTGAGAGATTTGACCTGGTACATCAAATTGTGAAAGGTAAGCCAAATAAATATTGGGAGATCTCTACCATAAAAATGATTTTTAATTGTGAACTCTTAAAGCATTTTTCTGAAAATAATTAGGATGTGTGACCCATTCATTGCTTTCTTTAAAACTTTTTTAAAACATTTAAGGTTTATTTATTTTTGAGAGAGAGAGACAGAGTCAATGGGGGAGGGGCAGATAGAGAGAGAGACAGGATCCAAAGCTGGCTCCAGGCTTTGAGCTGTCAGCATAGAGCCTCAGGCAGGGCTTGAACCCATGAACCATGAGATCATGACCTGAGATGAAGTTTAATGCTTAACTGACTGAGCCACCCAGGAACTTCAAAAAATTTTTTTTAATGTTTATTTATTTTTGAAAAATAGAGATGGAGAGACAGACAGACAGAGCTTAAGTGGAGGGAAGGGCAGAGAGCAATGGAGACAGAATCTGAAGCAGGTGACCCATTGCTTTCTAAGGCAATCCTTAGTATGCAGCTTCATGTTATATTTTGTCATAGAGAAAATAGATATTATTCTTTTCTCAGTGAGATTATATTGACGGTATGCATCAATATAATCCAGAAATTTCAAGTCATGAATGTAAACGCTCAAATGAAGAATAATGAAGAAAACACATTTCTGGTTTTTGTCCTGCTTAAAATTGTCATCCAAGGACCTTGACTTAATGGTACTAAGGTGCACGTGTAAATTGGGTCAATAGTGAGTCTATACAATTAATTCCATGTATCCATATTAATATATTTCTTTGTTCAGGTATTTAGGGTAAAATATAGGTAGAACGTAACAATAATTGTTGCCTTGATAATATCTTGAGAAATGCACTAAAATAAAATATCTTGGGTGATAGGAATTCAGTTCAGCAACCCATATCTTCCAGGTTATCCAAGGTCAAAAATCTCTGAATAATATTTAACTCTTTTTCTTACCTCCTACCTGTAGCTTTTACAAATATTCTACTGATTCTTATTCCCAAAATGTCTTTGCCTTGAGCTAACCTAGAATAATGATTGAGTGTAAGCTTTCTAAAGCCATGTGATCTCAGTTGGCCAATTCCGTACTATGGTCTTTGACAGTAAATTTATCTCATACTTTGTAAATCATTAATATATTCATAATATCTATTATGTGCATTTATTTATGAGGATTCCATAAGATAAGGCATGTAGAAGGTTTAGAACAGAGCCTGGCAGAAATTAAGTGCTTGGTATAGATGATCTGAATGAATGAGTAAATTAATACATGATTTAAATAAGTCAACAGACTTCCTTTTTTTCCCTATACTTGACATCTGTGATTTGCACCAACACTTATTAAAATAGCAAAAGAAAGGAAAGATCAGAGAAGTTGTACACTAGTGTGGAAAGTTACATGGACAAATTGTACACAAAGAATAATTCTCTTTTCACTAGAAGACAGAGTTAAAAGACAAAAAGTCTCTAGTTAATATCATTTTTATGTTCTTCAAAGATATGTTGGCTACAAATCCAACTTTAAACAAAGCCATAGGGGTGCCTTAGTGGCTCAGTCAGTTAACCATCCCAATTCGGCTCAGGTCATGCTCTCACTGTTTGTGAGTTGGAGGCCTAAGTGGGCCTCTGTGCTGACAGCTCAGAGCCTGGAGTCTGCTTCAGATTCTGTGTCTCCCTCTCTCTCTGTAGCTCCCCAACTCATGCTGTCTCTCTGACTCTCAAAAATGAATAAAACTTTAAAAATTTTAAACAAAGCTATAAAAACATGCCTAACAGTCCCCAAGATGAAGAGAAGTCTGCAAAAGACAAAGGTAAATTTATTTTTTTATTTATTTTTATTTATTTCTTTTTTCTTTTATATTCAATTCTCAAGTTGGTTTCCATATAATATCCAGTGCTAATCCCAACAAACGCCCTCCTCCATGCCCATCACCCCCCCTTCTCCTCTCTCCCAACCCCATCAGCCCTCAGTTTGTTCCCGTATTCAAGAGTCTCTCATGGTTTGCCTCCCTCCCTCTCCCCAACTATTTTTTCCCTTTCTCCTCCCCCGTGGTTCTCTGTTAAGTTTTTCCTGTTCCACTTATAAGTGCAAACAAATGGTATCTGTCCTTCTCTGCCTGACTTATTTTGCTCAGCATAACACCCTCGAGTTCCATCCGTGTTGCTACACATGGCCAGATTTCATTCTTTCTCATTGCCATGTAGTATTCCATTGTATAGATTAACCACATCCTCTTGATCCATTCATCAGTTGATGGACATTTAGGCTCTTTCCACGATTTGGCTATTGTTGAAAGTGCTGCTATGAACATTGGCGTACATGTGCCCCTATGCATCAGCACTCCTGTATCCCTAAGACAAAGGTAAATTTAAAAACTTTAGAACTTGGAACATTGCTTTTATAGGTTTAATAATTGCTTTCAAATGGTAATGATGATATAATTTATTCATTAGATATTTATTTACTACTATATTTCCATTAATGACAAATATTTCCCAATACTTTAACACATCCTACATAATTTATTTCATTGAATCCTCATAATAGTAGTAGTTCTGCAGAAAATTATTATAATCCTTTAACAGTTGGATAAATTACGACTAGTGGACATAGGACCAGAATTTTCTTGAATGCAACACCCTGATCATTCTACACCTCAGTCTTCAGCACATACTGTTATTGTAGTTCCTATTATTATTTTTATTTTATATTGGATTGGGTATTCAATACTATATAGATGATTATGAAATGGATTCCTCCTTTGAAAAGTTTCACAGTTTACAAAATAGTCCCATATATTATCAAATTTAATCTTTACCATAGTTCAATGAGCTAGAAATTTTCCCTCTTCCCATTATACAGATAAGTAAACTGAGACTAGAGAGGCCAATTAACTTTCCTAAGGATTCACATCTGTTAAATGCAAAACTAAACCCAAACTGGTCTCTTCCTTATTAACAAAAAGCTAGATATATTTTATTAAAAAATTCTTAAATATGTTTTTTGAAAACAATGAAATATAATGTTCTTCTGTCAAATTGGCAAATATATGAACATGATAATATGTGGTATTCACAAAGCTTTATGGAAATGGCCACTTTCATATATTGTGGTGAAAATGTAAACTGATACAACTCTTCAGAAGGGTCATTTGGCAATGTATTTCTATCGGATTATTATATTTTCCTACTTCCTTGAAGTCACATTTAGTTATGTGACTTGATCAGGCTAATGAATTTTCATGAGCTAAAGAGAAACTTGGGAAGCCATCGAGTGTTTCAGTACTGTCTCCTCAGTGCCTCCATCATCAGCAGTGTCTAAGATAATGCCTGCTCTGATGGCCTGGTCCAGAATGAAGGTGACATGGACCAGAGCTCAAGTAGCTGCTGATGACCCATCATCAAGAACCACAGCCACAAGCCTCTGATACTGAGTTGCTGTTAACTCAATATAATGTAACATATCAGGAAATTTTTAATGTTTATTTATTTTCAAGAGAAAGAGTGTGCAACAGGGTGGGGACACAAAGAGGGAGAGAGAGGATCACAATCAGGCTCTGCGCTGATAGCAGTGAGCCCGATTTCGGGCTCGAACTCAAAAATCAGGAGATCATGACCTGAGCTGAAGTTGGACGCTAAACAGACTGAGCTACCCAGGAGCTCCAGAAAGTTTTCTATCGAGAATTTATCCTACACAATAGTTAAGTATGTTCACAAAATTTTAGCTAACTTTATCTTCAGGAGAGTGAACTTGGAGCTAAACTGAACTTTTAAATAAATTATAGTACATCTAGAAATTCAAGATGACAGTAAGTGATAAAGATCACACTTTAAGTATTATATAATCATAGTTTTCAAAGTATTTTCAGAAACAGTATACAGCAGGGCATTTACAAGGTTATTTCTACATGGTTTTCATTTTTTTAAATATTTTTTCTTACTTGCCTTTTCCCATTTTCTTTAATAAACTTTTAAAAAATTGCAATGAGACCAGCAGCAGCAATAACAAGAATAAAACATATTAAACATTCTGATCCCAATTCCTGTTCTCTTTGCATTATACCATGCTACATCATTAACGGTAAACCTATGTATTTTTATAATGAATGGAGAAAAATCTTTGAAGGCTTGGTTTTGGCCACTAAGCTCTGTTTCTCTTCCAAGAGCCAGCATTGAACGCTGCTTTGAAAGAGCCTATTCATAGGCGGTGCATTTTCTCTGGACTGCCTGCAGAGTTGCAATATGATGCTATTGCAAATTACGGAAAGATTTTGCTTCTCTGAGTTTGTTAATGGACTGTAATAATAAATGTGATGTATACAGAGTAGTGGCAAACAGTCAAAACACTGTCATTTGGCCTTTCTAAAGTGGTGGAAATCAAGAGAGACTGAGAAATTGTCACAGGACTAGAGGACATTGGAGACCAGACAACTAAATACAGTGTGGTATACTGGATCAGATCTTGGAATAGGAAAAGGACATTCATGGAAAAATGAGTGAAATCCAAATGAATTATAGGTTTAATCTTTAGTTATGAACCAATGCCAATTTCTCAGGTTTGAAAAATGTACCAGGGAAGGTAATGCAAGATGTTAACAATGAGGGGGAGCTGGATTAAAGGATGTGATGGGCAGAATAACGGGTTTCCAAAAATGCCCATGTCCAAAGCTCTGGAATTTGTGAATATGTTGAATTCTATGGCAAAAGGGAATTAAGGCAGCATATGGAATTAAGTTTGCTAATCAGTTGATTTTATAATAGGGAGATGATCCTTAAGTACCCAGGTGGACACAGTTTAATTGCAAGGGTCCTTAAATGAGGAAAATGGAGATAGAAAAATCAATGTCAGGATGATGTAGTAGGAGAAAGACTTATTGGCTATTACTGGCTTTGAAGATGGAAGGAGACCACACATCAAAGATACATGAGAAGCCTCTAAGAATTGGAAAAGGCAAGTCGATGGTTTCTTCTCCATAGCTCGCATAAGGAACATAGTCTTGTGAGCACCTTTATTTTACCCAGTGAACTCCATTTTGGACTTCTGACCTCCAGAATTGTAAATTGTGTTGTTTTAAGCCACCTAGTTTGTGGTATTTGTTATAATAGCTACAGAAAACTAATATGAAAGGTATACAAGAGCTCTTCAGACTATCTTTGCAAGTGTCTTATAATTCTTAAATCATTCCAAAGTAAAAATTTTATTTATTAATTTGTTTGTTTATTTTCTTTTATTTATTTCTTTAAATTTATTTTATTTTTACAGAGAGAGGGCAAGAACTCAAGTGGGGGAAAGGGGCAGAGGGAGAGAGAGAGAATCTTAAGCAGACTCCACACTGAGCATGCACTCAATCCCATGAACCTGTGATTATCACATGAACCAAAATCAAGAGTCTGATCCTTAACTGACTGAGCCACCCAGACACCTCCAAACTTTTATTTTTAAATAGAATTACTGTGCCTTTAAGAAGAGTCATGATGTATTTAGAAAGGTATAGTTACTCACAGTATTCCCCAACTTAACAGCATACTGAACTCTAGTATGTTTGGGCTTCCTGCTCGTGGACCCGACTTTTTGGTCCAGACCCCTGTTCAGTCTACCTCAGTTCTGACACCTCAGTCGGGTACGAAGACCAAGTAGCTAGGATTTGATATCCCTCCAACCTCTCAAGGATCTCTGACCTCCACCACTTCCCTAGTTCTCCCCCTTCAGTAGCTGACAGCTGCCACCTCCCACAAGATTGGGCAGAAACAACTCTTTTTTATGTAACACCTTTGCATAAGGGTAGAAATCTAGATAAGAGCTGAGCTGTATTACCATAGCAACCAGATAGAAGTGAAAACATGTAGTCAACTCATTTCTTGGGACTACAGAGTGTGAGAAAAGTGTGGGATCATCGAACCATTTGGAATGGTCCTCCTTCCCCACCAGACTCCAGCCAGTGCTCTGATTGTGTACCATGCTGTCAGTACGACATGTTTTCCAGGTGGGGAACAGTATTATCCTTAGAGATAGGCAGAGGAAGTATACTTCAGAGGTAGAAAGATCACTTTCCAGAAGGAGGTTTCCTCAACCAAAGGCATTCCTCAGTTTTGGTTGTTTGTTTTTCTATTTGTCCTTGTCTTCTCAAACATGTTTACTTCCTATGTAGAGTGTTAGCATTTAAAAAAATTGCTTGTTCACAGATCCCAGGAAGCCTTCTCTGTCTTCAGTTGCTGTTCCTAATTCTATGTGTAGGTACCTGGAGTGTCATCACTAATGTTTAAGCATTGTGTTTGTGTTTGAATCTCAGCTTACTGTGTGTGTGTGTGTGTGTGTGTGTGTGTGTGTGTACTGTGTGCAGGTTAGTAAATCTTGCAGAGTACTCCTGAGATTTAATCTCTACTTTTAGATTTTTTTTTAATGAAGTATCAATGCCACACCACATAACAGGTAATCAGTTATTATTAATTCTCCTCCTCCTCTCTTCTTTTCATGGATCGCGATGATCTTCAAATTTACCCTATAAAGATGCAGGGGAAATAATCTGGAAAGATGACTAATTGCATGAGCTTTCAGAACTCTAAACATTCTTAGGGATTCTTTACTTCAAATCTTCAGCATACAGGCATGGAAACTGAGGCCTAGATACACTGCAAGTTCTTACCCCCAAATGGACCATTGTTTACTGCCCTACTCAGGACCAAAAGCTGCATCTGTAAATGCTTTCTCTTTCCTTCTTTAGCGGGAAAGAGACTAGCTAACACTCTGAATATGGGGCACATGTGGAAATCAGTCAACAAATTCCTAAGGACATGGTCCAAATGACAAGGCTGGGTCGTTAAAAGGCGAATTAGGAAGATTTCAAGTACCCAGTCTACTCTTCCTCCGAGTCTTCCTCCTCCAACTTCAGTTCTGTTCATACAATAAAAGAGAATCTGTCCATTGCACCCTGCACTCCACTCATCGTGTTAAAGAATTACAGTGCATCCAATTACCTGGTTTCCCCATTAATTTATATGTGCCCTGGGAAGGGAAGGGAGGGATGGTGCAGAAAACATACTAATCTTGATTCTTTTCCTAATGCCAATGCCTAGTACGTCTGTCCCATATCAGTGGCAAACATTTTATTTGAGTTCTTGCTGATAATTTAAATGTTTCTGTGGTTAAAAAACTTCCTGGGAAGGGAATGCAACAAATCATTATAACTGTATATATTAGTATTCATTCATTCAGTTGATCATTAATCATTATTTTTGATTCCCTAATGTAGAAATTAGATGATATATGAAATTATATAAGGTATGTTTAAGTATGTGTATAATTAGGAAAATATCCTGAGGCCAATAACTAAAATAAATCTCAGAGCAGGATATTGGTTTTTGGTAATTTTTCAACATGACTTGTTTTCTGTAATATTTTGAAATATTTTTTGTCAATTAAAATAACCAGGCTATGTGGGATTAACCCTGTGAAAGAACAAAAGGATTCCTGTCCGGCGTGATCTAAGATTTGCAGCTCCTGACACACTACAGTATCTTGGAGGAAGAAATCATTCGCCTGAATCATCTTCTCAGGATTCACATGAATGGAAAAAAATTCCAAGGCCATTTATTTTATCCATTCATTAATGGAGAAAAAAATAAAACACATGTGACAGAATCTCCACAGAGAACATATGACCTTGTTTCCTAGGTGCATTTTTTACAAAGAAAGACTGTGTGCAATGATCAGTTGACCCTTATTCTTTTCTCTAGATAATCACCTGCATTCTTTAATATAGTTTTATTTGTATCAGTGTGAAAAGGAACATCAAGGCATGTAGCTATAATTTGTTTTTCAACCTAAAATCTGTCTTAGAGTGTGGGGGATGGAAGAGAAGGAGGAATGGATTTCCACAGCCCCACTCCCATCAGTCTAAATCTTAAAATAATATGTCCTCTGGCAATCGCTAAATCTCATTACTGGTTTAAAGCAATAAATCTTCCAAGGCATTGAAAAAAAAAAAAAAAGAAACACCAATGTAGTAATGAGATTATGCTGAAAATAAAGCGGTGGATTAGTAAAATCTAATTTGGAAGTGATGAAGTGCATGTGATGTCCAAGTAATTATTCCTGCAGAGTCCACACTGTGGGTAGCTCGGAGTTATTGGATACTGCACTATGTTAATGATGCGACTGCCTGACATTTGGGTGAATGTGCTGACCGTCTGCTGTGTCGCTGCTCCTATTGTCAATACTCATCTCTGGGTCCAGCAGCTGCATTGCATGATGCGGCCACAGACACAGCCAGAGCTGTGCGACCACAGATGCAGGCGTGCCTGTGTGTGTGTGTATGAGTGCATGCGCAGGTGCGTGTGCAGGAGACTTCCCTTTCTTGGGCCAACGTTGTGGGTTTTTTTTTTTTTTTTTTTTTTCCCATTTTAAAATCTAGGCTGAGACAAGAGGGCTATCCTGAACACCACTATATAGAGAAGTGAAAATCCAAATACATTTCTCTGAGCTTTATTTAAATACTCAGACCAAGATTATTCGCATTCTCTTTGTATACTCCTTATCTTTCAAAAGCACAAACCTAGACCTACACTTGGCCAAAAGCAGATTGTCATGTAATATTACTTCATGTGGCCAGTGGAGATTTTTCTAATAGAATGTTCTACTTCCTTACACTTCAGTAATGGACGTCTCTACTATACGACATTGAAAAGTGCTTTTTCTGATACAGAATTCTTCAGCTTTAATGCATAACTAATCTGTCTTCGAGTTAAAGGTGTAAAAATTACTTAGGGAAGATGATAGATTGACCAAACTCGAAGTAAAGAAAACATGGAATACTGAAGTGCCTGGCTCAGTCGGTTAGGCATCTGACTTCAGCTCAGGGCATGATCTCACGGTTTGTGGGTTCGAGCCCCGCGTTGGGCTCTGTGCTGACAGCTCAGAGCCTGGAGCCTGTTTCAGATTCTGTCTCCCTCTCTCTCTGACCCTGACCCTCCCTTGCTCTCTCTCTCTCTCTCTCTCTCTCTCTCTCAGAAATAAATAAAAAAAATTTTTTTAAAAAAAAGAAAACATGCAATACCAAAAGCCCTTTTATTTACAATCCATGAGTAGTTTCATCAAGCTACCCATGAAATATCCCAGACATCCCAGGAAACTTGCACTAGAGCTGGTCAGGGAGGGCTCCTCAGAGGAGGAGACTTAATGAGAAGATTACAATAGATATAGACAAAATCAAAAAGGAAAGGAAGCATTCCCAGATGGGAGAATGGCTTCAGCAAAAGCTTAATGATGACACTTTTCTTGGCATGTTTAGTTGGACAATTTTATATTTTAGTGAACCAAGTGAATCATATCACTACCTTAAATGAAAAGAATGTATTATAAATACATGGGATGTCTCAAGATTCCAATTTTGTCGATCTTTCTCTTTCTCAATTTCACCATTTTGTACATCCATTCTTCTCTTCCTCAAAAGTCTGGCTTCTTTCTTCTTGTACGTGTCCCAGATAGACTCTGAGAATTTTTTTTTTTTTTTGAATACTTAGACTCCAAGTCTAAGAGTCCTGGAGAAGAAGTTCTTTGGCACTGTTTGGCCCAGTTTGGGTCAGATTCTCTCCCATGGGTTGAATAATAGTGGCCAATGGACAGGAAAAAATAAAAACCAAACTGCAAATACACGTTTGGGTGGAGAAGTGATTCCTAGAAATGTAGTACTGATCGGAAAACCCATGGATGTGTACTACACACTAATTTCTTTAATTGCTTCATTCCTAACCATTTGAAGGACACAGGAACCCAAGAAAAAACACTGCTCCCTTTAGGAAGGAAGTGCTCTGGTTTGTACTTCTCACTCTGCAACAAATCTTCAGTTTCCATTCTTGATAGGCCTGCAGAGACCCTACAATGCTTAGATGCATGCCCTGATTTTCTCTGTGCCCATCCTCCTGGAGATGCTGACTCATATGGAATGTCCCACTTGCTATGTCATTTGACTGAAAAGCAGCCTCTCAGACTCCTTCAACTTCAGAGCTTGACCCCAGGTCCTATACGTGGCACCTTGCTTCCCTTCATCTTGAGTGATAATCTATTGATCCATGGGCACATCAAATCCAAACTAAAAGTTGCTATTTAATCAGAAGGATATTCAAAATTGACAGCTCAGAGAGATGGCAACATATTTGAGGCCAAAGGACAAAACAAGAACAAAATGATAGAAAAATGAAAGATTGGTAACCAGAGAAGTTAAGTAAATGGGAGTGAGCAATACAGCACAGAATAGTCAAGTTAGGGATTCAGGGAATTGAATATCCAAATACTGCACATGCAGCAAGTAATCTCTTTCATACTGAGCAGGATTTCTGCTGCAGGCAGAAGGGTTTTCAAAAGGCACCAATTCTCTGTCATGCACACAGCCCATTTTCTTTGTTCATCAGTCAAAAGTGAGATCATCAAATGGATATTACAGGTGGGGGTAAAGTAAAAAGGCAGAAAAAGAATTTCCCTCCTCTAGGGGCAGAGGACAAATGCTACATTCTGAAAAGAAAATTGCAGAATGGTTGGTGATGGGGTGAGGGAGTAGTAGTGAAGGTCAATATGGTCAAAACTGTCAAGGAATCTATTGGAAATCCCTGTTGCAGGGAAAACAACTAATATTTGCTGATCCAGGCACTGTTCTGGTTGCATTATATTTTCCAAGTCACTTATTCATGAACGATCTCTGCAAGGCAGATATCATTAGTCTTATTTCATAGATGTGCAAAATCAAGGTTAAATGAGATTAGGAAATGGACCAAATGTCACTTGTGGTAGAAGTGGGATTTTACATTAGGTCTGTCTGATCACTAATCTATAAGTTTCCAACTATGTAATGCTGAAAGCTAATTAAATTCTTATTATGTCTGAGACAGTGTGGAATTTGTTTCCTAATTATTCTGTAGCAATCCGTGTGGGTGTATAACCCACTAATCCACTATTTAGAAAGAATCCTTGAAGTACTTATGCCTAGATAATAGAATTACAGTTGCTTTACTACCTTTGTTGTCTTTCCAAACAAGTGTTTTTGGTGGGGAGAGGGAGAAGCTGGAAAAACACCTTGGCCTTGGCTGCTGATGAAGAAGGAAAAAAATAAATCCTTTATTCTAGCCCAACTCCTTTATCCTACCTCTCAGTCCCCACTGTGTAAACTCAGGCAATGGGTATGAGGTTGTTTCTTTCGTTATAAGTTTCTTAAATGGTACATACACTGGGTGCAAACTATCTTGTCACATTGTCATCCTGACCTTGAATCCCTCCTACCTACCTCAGAGTCTGACTGCTTTGCACACTGGCCAGCTCTGGAGCCCTGAGCCAGGGTCATGAACCACAGGCTGCATGCTGACTTCCAGCCAGTTTCCCATGGCACCTCCATGTGAGCAGGTAAAATACATCCCGCTCTTCAGGCTGAAACAAGAAACACACACACACACCCTCCTCTGAGATCGATCTTTATTTTTAACAAGCTACACAGATCCTGCAGTGATCATGAGGCACTTTTCATATATAATCTCATTTAAATCTTATAACAAGCAGCTCCTGGGTGAGCATCCAACCTCAAGATCGTGATCAAAATCATGCTCAGGTCATGATCTCACAGTTCTTGAGTTTGAATCCTGCATTAGGCTCCCTGCTGTCAGCGCTGAAGCTGTCAGTGCAGAGCCCACTTTGGACCCTCTGTGTCCCTCTCTCTCTCTGCCCCTCTCCCACTGTGTTCTCTCTCTCTCTCTCTCTCTCAAGTAAATAAAAACATTAAAAAAGAAAGATAGCCGGGTGGAGAAATCATGACCTGTGTTGCACTAGGAAGGGGTCAAAAGCTCAGCAAGCTCAAGTGGCAGTAAAGTGATGTGATTATGTCCTAAATGACCTGGATTTGCATCCATCCAGGTGGCCTTACTTTGAACAAGTTACTTAACCTTCCTAAGACAGTCTACAGAGCTGTGTATGGAATGGAAATAATAATAACAAAACAATTTCTTTGCTTCCACGGGGTTGTTCTAAGAATGAAATAAAACTATACCATCTTATGAAAGGTTCAAAATGGTAGACAGTAATGTGAGGCAGACTCAAGCATTAAATCCAAAACAATGTTCTAGTCACTCTGCACCATTGATTTGCTCTAAGTGTTTATTCCAGGAAGATTTTAAAACAATGGAAGAATTTTGCAAAAATAATTAGAGGCTGTTCTTTCAAAGGCTAGCATCAGGTTTTGTTCTCCTGCGGGGCCACTATCTCTGTCTTGCCCCATAACCAGTAACCCCTGCTCCCAGCAGGCTCCATGCATTCAGCATGAGCAACTCTAAAGAATGCCCTCCACGGACTGGTACCGCCAAATACCCCAATCCTCTCTCATCTCTTATCTCATTTAATCCTCACCTTGTATCTGAGCCTATTTCATATCTGAGAACCCCAACAGGTGAAAACACCCACTGGGTGAAAAGCTAGGATTAAGCCCTTCTCTTTCTGTTATATCATGAAGCACAATCTAACAGTTTCAGCAAAGATTCTCATTCTTCAAGTCTGGAAGAATATAAAGGTATCAGTCTATGATCCACTTGTAAAATATTCCAAC